TGCATCAGAGTGAGTCTGAAAGGTACTGGTGTTTCATGGAGAAAATCCACACATTAAACAAAAAGGGAGAAGGGGTGATCTCCGCCCCCTCCTTTATTTTTCTGACACACTGTAAGAACTGGGATGTGCCACCATCTACTCACCTTCTGACATATCACTTCACAGTGCTGGTCCCAAAGGCGACAACATCTATGAGTGGAGGTCAACCATCCTAGGGCCTCCCGGATCTGTGTATGAGGGTGGTGTCTTCTTCCTTGATATCACTTTTACGCCAGAATATCCCTTCAAGCCTCCAAAGGTAAGATGCTCCCCCTGGTTATGCCAAAATGTACACACTCCCATGAAGGATTATCGAAGCTTTTAAAACTGAGTTTTTAATCACAAAAAATAGATTTCTGTTATATCTTAACAAATCTCTAAGTACATTTGAACATATACAAAACGCTTCTTTGGGGTGACTTTGCCTCATTTGGCAGGGGCCGTTTCTAAGAGTAAGTGCTTTGTTTTGATGGGGCGTAAAGTCCTGCTATGTACAGTAACAGTCAGCAACCCGTAAATGCCCTGTTTCCCACTCAACGGGACAAGTTTTTGAACAGATAGAAATGGTGTCAAAATATCTATGCACTAAAACAATTAGAGAGTCAGAATCTCCTACCAAACAAAGCCTTGGGTTCTGCTCCCTGTCATCCTTTGGTCGAGTGCAGATCCTCACCTCCAGGCTCTGGTTTTTCTCATCAAGGATGGGTGGGGACTGCTCAGGTCACCTGTCTCCTGTGACACTCAACAGTCTGCGGGTCTTCCATTCACACAGTCTGAGGGAAAACCTCTTCTTAGGAATGGGGCAGACTGCTAAGTAGAGGTACAACAGCAGCTGCAAGAAGTGATTGAAAGTCTGTCATTTAAAAAAAAGGTGGTAAAGTTGTAGGTTATTTTTACTTTGGAATGATTCAGTATGTTTCACAAGTAAAAATTAGCAGATTAACCAAAATAACCCTGGCTCGTGCGACCTGGCGCTGATTGATCTGCTGCTGTGGTCCTCACCCTTTTCTGGCTCCTCACCCTGCAGAGACTGTTAAAACGAATCCTGCGGTTTAGGTGGGCAGGATCTGATAGAAAGGTTAGAAACAAATCTCATCTTCAAACATAATTTTCGGATTTTGGGGTGTGTGATCATTGTTTGCTAAGCACTTTGTCTTTGTGTATCCACTATGTTGTACCTCTGAATTACGACTCTAAAGCTTGCTGGGAAGCCGTGTAGTACTAGCAGCCAACACAAGAGGTCAGCAAACAATTAGTTATTCAAACGGAAATGTCAGAAAAGTATTTAAAACATTAAAACTGCTAAAGATGAATTCAAGACATACTGAAGTTACCTTGCTTTTTGTTGGCAGACTATTATTACTTTTTAAATGACATTGAAAATCCCTGAGATTGTATCAGTGAATTTTCTCATCTCAGTTTTATTAAGTAGTCTCTTATTAGCCTTGGTTAAACTGTTATTGTATTTCTTTTTAAAAACTTTCTTTTACAAGTTTTAATTAGGGCCACTTAATTGAAAAGATGATTTAGTAAAAAGTTTCACTGTTTGCTGTTTAAAATTTTTAACACTACCTTATTTTTTAGGTTACATTTCGGACAAGAATCTATCACTGTAATATTAACAGTCAAGGAGTTATTTGCTTGGACATATTGAAAGATAATTGGAGTCCAGCACTAACCATTTCTAAAGTTCTCCTTTCTATCTGCTCACTTCTTACAGACTGTAATCCTGGTAAGAATAATTCTTTGCCTTGTTTTATTCCTCCTCACCTGGAAAATACTTATTCTCTACTTAAACTAAGATTTTCTAAAGATACAGTTCAGATTTTATTTTTGTACGAGCTTTCAAAGGCCAAAGCCAGTTGCTTTTTGAAGAAAGTGCTTATTAAGAATTCAGTCTACCGGTTGAAAGACGCAGCGGGTTCACCACTGATACATTCTGGGAACAAGCTGTTACAAACTGAAGACTTACATAAGACTGCTTTAGGTTTTTACATTTTCAATCATTCTCCTTTATTTTTTTCACCTTTTGCATATTTCCCATACAGTTCTCCAAAACCACTCTTGTACATGTTGAGTCATCTGCGTCTGACCTCACCTCTGCCTTCAGGTCCACCCAGCTCTGGCCCCATGGCTGCTTACTGGGTGGTGGTCCACTTTGAAAGGGGTGTTTCTCTGCTGTATACTTGGTGTTTACCAGACTGTGGTTTGTGAGGGGTGCTTAATTTCCTCGTATTGAAATTTTTTTCTAGATAAATCAGACGTAAATTTATTAAAGATTCTATTTAGGTTTCAGGGAAACACTGTACTTAACTTAATCAGAAGTACAGGTTTTCACCTGGCAGATTTGGCTCTTTCTGGGTAAACAGTGAGGAGGTAAATGGTGTTGCACTGCAACAGCCCTGACCTGAGGACTTGACGATTTTCCGTGTCATATGTTAATTGGTGCCATTGAACAAAAGGTCAGAACATAGCTGGGATGTTCACTGTAGTCTAGGGCCAAACACTGCACACCCTAGCACAGAAGAGCCAGAAACCCTCCAAGGGCTGGTGTTTGCTGGGAGAGAAATGAGGATCAAGCCAGACCAGCACTAAAGCTTGTGCCTTCTGTTTGGATGAGAATTTCCCCACTGTGTGCATGCTGGGTTTTTTGAAGGCTAGAAGGAAAAAGTCTCCAGAATGGTGGAGTGGTTTGATCACAGCTACTTTGTACATTCCTTCCCAAGCTGTCACTAACTTATTTGCTAAAACTTAAAATGTTCTTTTCCTTTCTTCAAAGTAATCTACATTCTTTTCTTCCAGCCGACCCGTTGGTGGGAAGTATTGCCACTCAGTATATGACCAACAGAGCAGAACATGACAGAATGGCCAGACAGTGGACCAAGAGATACGCTACATAAATTGGGTTTTCACAATTCTTTACGTTATTTGTCTGTCACAGAGAGAGCTGCTTATGATTTTGAAGGGGTGGGGGAGGGTGGGAGTTGGTAAAGAGTAGGGTATTTCTATAACAGATATTATTCAGTCTTATTTCCTAAGATTTTGTTGTAACTTAAGGTATCTTGCTACAGTAGACAGAATTGGTTAATAGCAACTTGTAAAACTGTCATTAGTTCTGCAGTATTAGCTGATAATGGAGTACAAAGAATAGACATTTGGGTTCAGTCGCTTGTAGTCTGTAAATTGAAAACAGCTTAATTTTGTACAGGTTACACACATGGCCATTTATGTAAAGTCCTTCCAAGACTACATACTTTTTTGTTTGAAAAAATTGGAATTTGTTTTCCCTTCTTGGAAGGGAATATTGATATTTAACAGCTTTTAGAGATTGTCATCTCATATATATAAAGATGGACCCGTGGCGCTAAGACACCATATAGGAAACGAGTAGTGATGTATTTTCTTTTATATGCCAGTCTACTTTATTGTGGAAAGGTAGAGGTATCTGAATCAGGACCTGTGAAAACCTGTAGTAAAATACCTTAAGCTGTTACCTGTAAGGCGTGGAGTAGGCGTTGCTCAGTGGATTGGTTGTATGTTGTGGACTTAAGTCTGCATTTGTTACTGTGCTAATAAACAACGTTAAAACCACCACCTACCAGTGCTGTGTTCATTTCCTTTCTTTTGCTTTCTTTTTTTTTTGTAGTTCCTTTTTCCCTGACAGATCTTTGCTACTAAAACCACCTAGAAGTAATGCAGACTGAAGACATTGGTATTGTTTACCCAGCACCCATGTTAGGCTTGGTACGTTACTGTATACAACATCCTCGCAGGATCGTGTGTGAGGTGCCTTAGCAAAGGTCAGATAATCAACCCACTGTCTTTCAAAGACAGAGGCCTACTGCATCGTCTTAAAAGTATTTTCCAACTTGCAGATGCTGTGGTGGTAAGTACATGGAGAAATCGGTGCTCATAAATAATACGCCACATTAGAGACCAACCTGGCAGTACCTAGGTGTGCGCATCCTCTCCAGAGAAACGCGCCCAGGGGCCCAGGGTGAAGGCACGTACATCTTCACTAAGCCTGTCCCGAGAATATGGTCGCTCCGTACTGACAGATCTAAGCCGTGTTCAGTCGAGGAGCAAACTGCAGGGCCTGGTATTATTACCTATCTTTAAATAACTGTAAAAGTACCCATCTGTGTTTGAAAAAAAAAAACTCAGCAGTACCTGGGAGAGAAGATGTAACCATATCTGACTGGCAGTATTTGTGATGAGAAATTTTATATAATTATACATCAGCTCGTGCTGCCACCACGTAAGTTCTGGACCTTCTGTATGCAGTAGTTCCTGGATGGGACTCGCTGAACGGAGCCAACTGCGTCCAAAGTCACTGGGCCTCGCCTTAGTAAGTATTCACGATGCTATTTATTTATCTCATATTTTACACTTAAAATAGTTAACTACTTTCGTGGTTAAAACCACTAAGTAGCTTGCTTCCTTTTACAATTAGTTACAATATTGTCAACTTGCTTAATACAATTAGCTCCATTACTCAGGTCTTGCCAACATGTTTAGAGAACCATGGCACAAACTCAGATATCTAATCTGAAAACTTCCAGAAGGTACAGTGTTCCTTGTGGAAAGTGGAAGCTTTGCTGTCCTTAAGTGCTTAGCAGTTTTCTAAAGAAGGAAGTTAACAGTTTGAATGTAGTTATTACCACCTACTCAATTCATGGTAAACATAATTTGAACAAAGCTAAATCATAGCTTTTGTTCTATTTAGCATGATCTCCACCAGACAAAATTTAGCTCAAATTAGTACCCACATTGTTTACTGTCTGTGCCAATTTGGACACACACACAAAAATGTCATTTTATAATCCTAGACATTAGAAGATTGGTGAACTTTAAAAAAAAAAGAAAGAAACTTACATTTGAGCTAAGAAGTCTGCATAAAGTTAACCCCAGAATGACAGCTTCTGAAACAGGTTAAAGGGGAGGGGAAGCTACCCACAGGAATATTTGCATACTACTCAAACTTTATTTTATTCTTTTGACAAGTGCAACATAATTATAAATAAGGTGCTAATTTCAGGGACAAGTTTTAAACAATGAGAACGTAAATATATTACTTCATATCAGGCAGTAATAACTTCACCCCACTAACTTCATTATAACTGAAAGTGCATTAATTACTTCCTTGGGATATTTCCTAAGGACCACAGGTAGATACAAATGACCTATGTTAAATATGTTCACGGACACCCAAAGACAGTCAGTATACAACCAACAGTTGTGGCATCATCAATTTTTAGTTCTCAGAGCTAGAGTTGCCTTTGTTTTTCCGCCCAGGCAAAGGGAAGCTGGACTTGCTCTGGGGCTGGGAGAGTTTGCTGGCTAACAGAGTGAACGGTTCAATCAGAGTCCTCCGATCTGTAACCGTCACCTCCCACAGTCGCACTTTCTCACTCTTTGCCCATTGCTGGGCCACTTCAGCATCCACTTGTCTCTGCTCAGAAAGGTCAATTTTGTTTCCTAATACAACAATTGCCACCTGAAAGAAAAATGGATAAAAAGATCACACTTTGCCAGCATCAGTTCCTAGGCAAAATGGAGAAATAAAGAAAACTGTCTCATTTAACAAACTGCTTCATCGAAACTGACCCTCAGATGTGACCTGAATGGTAGTCGGACATTCCCTTCACTGCTTCCTCAGTGCCTTTTTGTTAAAAATGCAGGCGCTCCACAGGTTGCTATGAAACATCTTAAATTAACAACAGGTGAAGTTGCTCATCGCAGGTGTGGGTGGAAGACACGCGGGGAAGTCAGCGTCCAGGGTACCGACGAGGGCCTGACTGCAATGCGTCTGCACCGCGGTTCAGCTGTACCTGCCGTGTGGGAAATCTGCAGTGTGTACTTGAGAACACAGTGGGACTCCCGGAGCTGTGAGAGTTCTGCACCCCTGGGACCTGAGTCCACAAGAACAGGAATTTTTGTTCTGTTCACATTATTCCCAATCACAGAAAAGTGCCTGATGCAAGCACTAAGTATTTGTTGAATGTATGACCCAACAGGAACATTATACAGTAAATGCCAGGCAATCAGTTCTTCAAAGTGGAATGCTTACTGCACACCGACCAGAACACGGCAGTCACAGCTTGGGGGAGGGGAGGAGGGGACATCCAGATGTTCAGACAGTGACTCTTAAGATGATGGGAAAGTGGAGGAAGGGCAGCAAGGGTTGTCAGAGAGGCCTCTGGGCCATTGCTGTGTTCCTGCCTTTAACTTGAGATCTCGGTGCTCCAATTAAGGCCCTGCCTTCACGGCAGGATGGGAGAGCAGGCCCCAGAGCTCCGCTTTCCTGGCACATCTCATAATCCTCCAAATCTGAGCAGAAGCCCTCCTGTCATTCCCCGCCCAGATTTTCATCCCCGTGTGTATCTCCTAGTCTAGCCTTCCTCTCCCTCACTTCTCCAGTTGCAGAAGCTGTCCCACTTTGCCCCTAGACTTCAATAAAATCCCTTCCCTACGTCCCCCAGCTCTGCGCCCCCTTCCGGCCTCCTGGAAGGAGGCTCAGCGCTGCGGTACTCCCATGGCGGGCTGGGGGAGCTCTGGTGTCGTCCTCATCTCAGCGCTGCCTCCAACCACATCCCTCCCTGAAAACCCTCAAACTGAAGGTGGCTGCTACTGGTCTGTGGCACCTGCTACCTGCTCCTCAGCCCACACGCTACCTTTCCTGTAATTCCTAGTGACTTCACTGGCCACATGGATGACCCTTCCAGTAACCTTTGCTTTCAGTTCTTCTCTAAAGACCTTAATTATCCTCCTGACCTCAGCCATTCACTCCCATGAACACATCTAGCTCTTGCCATTGTTCCTGCTCCCCTCTGATCTCAATTCCAGAACCTGCTCTGACCTCTCCCTTCCAGTTCTAAACACCCCAAGGCCCACGATCCCCTGGCTCCACTCCCCTTATCACTGTCCTTCAACCTCTCTTGCGTCTTCAGTCCCTCACCCATCTTAGATCCTTTTAATTCACTCCCTTGCCTCATTACTGCATTGTGTTCACCTGGTAAACCCCTTTGTTAAGTTTAACTATTACCCTTGCTTTTTGCCCACACCATTTACTGACCGTGGCTCAAGAAAAACGCAACCCTGCTGGCTGGTCCCAGTTCGTACCGCCAGCCTGAAGTGAGATGGTGTTCTCCAGCAAACACATCACATTTCCTCCGTTTCCTCTGTAACCAGACAGCATATCCCACCCGGGCCCTTCCCCAGCCTCCAGCATCTCATCTTCCTTTCCCCTCCTTACCCTCAGCCAATGTCTCTAGTTTCAGCAAGAATACAGAAGCAATCAGAAGGGGAAGTTCCCCGTGCGCCTACCCACATCGAACAACCCTATGGTCTTCTAAGCCTATGTGTGCCTCCTCTGGAACCATTCTCTTTAACCTGGACACGGATATCACTCCAGCAGTCATCCCTCCTCTCCTGCATGTTAATTTTCCTCTCCACTGAGTCATTCCCATTGGCACACAAACACAACGCGCTCTCTCATCTAAAACACAAAACCTTTTCACACATCCTCCTCCGGCTCCTCTCTCTTCCCCTTTATGGGACGATATATTCACTCTGTGACTCAGAACACTTTGAAAGAGCTCAGTTTTCAGTGCTCAGTTCTCTCACATCCAGGCCACAGACCTGGTCTCTGTTTACTAGAACTGTTCTTGTTAAGATCTCCAAGTTACCTAAGGCTGCTCACGTCTTCATCCCCAGCTTGTCTGATCTATCTGCAGCCTTGACGTAGCTTGGGCAGTCCCTACTTTTAAAGTGCTGACTAGACTCGCCTTCTGGGGCATCCTTATCTCTTGGTTTCCCTCTTACCTCACTGGCCACTTCTTAGACTTCTTTGCTGGCTTCTCCTCAGTTCTCCAACTGGTAAATGCTGCAGTGCTCCGGGGCAACAGCATTTCAGCTAAACTCTGAGCTTCTCACCTCCTCCCCCACCGTCTCCTGTCAGCACAACATCCCAAGTGACCGTTTTAAAACAAATCAGAAGATGCTCAACTTCATTCATATCAAGGAAAGTGAAACTATTAAAATACCGTTTCACCCAGAAGAGTCACAAAATCCAAAAATTTAACCACACGTTGTTAAGACTGAAGACACAGGCATTTTCATACCATTCCTATGGGCGGTAACTTGGCAAGATGTTTATCCTTGACTCAAGAACTCCATCTCTGCTGACTGATGTAATTACAACTACCCTAAATTGTACAGAATAATAAATTATAAGATTATTCACTGCAGCACAGTTCACAATAATGGCTGGAGGTAACCTAAGTGTCCATCAATTTGGGACTGGCTCAGTAAATTACCATACATCTTTATCCACATAATGAATACTATGCATCAGTTTAAAAAAAGGCATCTGAGTATTGTTATGGACAGGACTCCAAGATACATTATATGAGAAATACCAGGTGCTGAACAATATGTTATACCTTTGGTACAACAAAAAGGGAAAAATAAGATACATACATTTCTATTTGCTTATATTTATATAAAGAAACTTTGGAAGGACACCCCTAAACTAGTAAAGTGGTGAACTATAAAAAAGACATGCTTGAGGTACAGGAACTTAAGGGGTGGGAACTGGAGTTCACCAGAGTCCTTTTTATACATTTTAATTTCTGAACCACGTGCAAACATTACCCATTTGTTTTTTTAAAAAACAAATATGAAAATAAACAAGTGCAACCCAAGCTACATCATGTCATTCTGTCATTCCTTTGCTTCCAGTCCAAAGTGTCGCCCTCACCTCCTACCACACTCCCCCCAGCCGCCCATTCTGGCCTCGGTGCCGTCCCTCAACATGACAAGCTCCTGCCGCCCCTGCGCCCGCTGGCGCCTCCACCCTCCAGACACCAGCATGGCTCTCCCTCATGTCCTTCAGATCTGTCAGTCACCTTATCAGGGAGGCCTTCCCAGATCACCGGACAGAAAACAGTACCCTCACTCCCCACTCCGCTCAGCTTTCTTTCCTACACAGCATCCCCCTTCACTGCCTCCCCTCTCCCGCCCCCAGGCTGAAGCTTTACGGGAGTGGGGACTCTTACCCACCGCCTTCCCTGCACCTCACCGAGAACACGCACGTAGCTCAAGGAGCAATGCTGAATGAACCTGCTGCTTAAATCCCCGTAACAACCATGGGAGAAAGGTACTGCTATCATCCTCGTTTTACAGATAAGGAAACTGAGGCAGAAGGGGTGAGAAGCAGAGCTAAGATTCAAGTGTCACGTATATGAGGGCTTCACTGAACTATTCTTTCAACTTTGTGGGGGCAGGAAGGGAATCTAGAGGCTACTCTAGAAGGCAAGAACAGGACTTCTCTGTCTCAGTGGGGAAGATGAAACGCGGGGAGGGGAGCGAGCATTCATTACTTGCCTTTTTGTATCTTTTGAAGATTGAACCTTATGAATGCTATCTATTCACAAAGTGAGTGAGTATTCAAAATAACAACAATAAGTGAAATATCAACAACCCTGATGTCCTTCAACAGGTGAATGGTTAAATAAACTTTGGTACGTACATACATACCATGGAATACCGGCCGGCCATACAAGAGCGAATGACGGATACACACAACCACCTGGATGACTCCCCGAAGGAAAAAAGCTGACACCAAAAGGTTACAGACTGTGTGGTTCCGTTTATGTTAACACTCCTGAAGTGACAAGGTCACAGAAACGGAGAACAGATCATTGTCAATGGCTAAGGAGGGAGGCGGGATGGGAGGGAAACGCGTGGCCATAAAAGGTAACATGAGGGGTCCCTGTAGTGATGGCCACGTTCCCGACTGCACACGTGTCAGTATCTCGCTTGTGTTACTGTACTACGGTTCTGCACTGTGTTAGCACTGGGGAAAGCTGGGTAAGGAATCTCTATTATTTCTTAAAATTGCAAGTCAATCTACAATTACCTCAAAATTAAAAATTTAACATAAAAAATATATATATACAAATTAGGTTAAGAACATCTGGCCGGTGCTGCTAACCAGCTCATCATGTAGTGCCCTGGACAATGAGGACTCAGCCATGAGAAGACCTGGAGAGAGATCTGCCATAAAAGAGGTCCGGGCAGGGGAGCGAGCAACGGAGAAGGGGAACAAAATGCTTATGCTGGAAAGACAGAAAGGAGACCAGCGTCGCTGGAGCGCAGTGACAGGAACAGAATGCCAAAGATGAAAAGAACAGACCCAGGCCAGATCATCCAAGGCTTTACAGACCATACAAAGAACCTATTTTCAAATGGTAAATGGATAGAATCCAGTAATGATTTATTAGTTTTTTTTCCCCATTTCTTTCCTCCCACCTTTTTTAAAGGCTGAAGATAATCCTATTTATCCAGGGATACAATAAAAAGCCCTAGGAAATGGTGATCCCAAATAATACGAAATGAACTATGTAGTATTTAAGATATGGAGTCACTAAAATCCAACTTGTACATGGTGACAGAGGTAAAGGCAGAAGTCAAATGCTGGTCCTGGTTGAACTCAGTCAGCCCTGTATTTCCAGGGCTAAGAAAAATATGACGATTACAGATACTGTGAATACAACTTAATGCTTTTGAAATAGTTTAATTGCCCAAAAGTTCATGCTACAATTTAAACAGTGCTATACTTCATAGTTGACATTGTTAACATACCCACTTACCTCTTTTTTGTCTTTGAACTTGTCAATTTCTTTCTTCAGAAGCTCCACTCTTTGAAAGGATTCAAGGTTATTCACACTGTACACAAGAACAAAGCCATCAGCAAATGAAAAATAATGCTTCGGCAGCTCCACGCCTTCCTGTAGGCCTCTGGTGTCATAGAGATGTAACTGTTCCTTTACCCCCCGATCCGTTTCCACTGAAGCCATATACACATCCTCCATTGTTTCACAGTCTTCCATTCCTGGGATTAAAAAGAAATTACTTTTATATATACAAATAACAATCACTACATTATTTACCTGAAACTAATATAATGTTACGTCAATTATACTTCAGTTTTTAACAAAGCAATTACTCTTTTTGGATAACTCAGTACCAATTGTTGCGTATTTTCTTGGCCTTTAGAAGTTGGTTTTCTAGGTTCCATATTTACTACATACAAGAATCAGATTTCCACTTACTAATTTCTTTACAATGAAAGGTAGTTGTTACAGTAAATGAACAAAGTACTTTTTAAAAAATATTTCTTCTGTGTAGAAATAAAAGTAATAAAAATTTGGCAATGAGATTTACTATTACATATTTTTTAAAAGGGACTTTCAAGAGTCAAATAACTTAATATCTAAATAAGAGAATCAAAGGCTACTTTTCTTCTTCGTCAGAGCCAAGGACAGGACCTGGGTAAATTTGATTTTTCTCTGTAAAACTTCCACTATTTCTAGGGTCTGTTTAAAGAACTCAAAAATTCACATGGCCAGGCTGGGTCTTGGCACTAGACCTTAATTCCCAAGTACCTACTGTGCACCTTTGTACGAAAGTCCTTTGAGTACTTTAAAGTAACAAGATCCTCTCCACACTTGTCACCTGTTCCTCCCCCTTGCTTCTGTCCCTTGATCACCTCCACCTGGTCAGTCTTCAGCATTCTCTCTGAACAGGGAAAGTATGGGTGAGAGTTATCGTAAATCAGCCACTCTACTGCTGGGACATCTGCTCTATCCACTGCCTCCTTCCATTCCCACTGGCACAAGCCCTTAACAGTACCTCCACCTGAACTACATCACCTGAACCACACAAGCCAGTAAGGATACCTTCACCAGAACTACCGCAGTAGCTCAGGAAACACCTGGTAAAACCCTCCTATCCTTTCCAGACTCTGCTGAAATATCAAGCCTGTGGATCCTCTCCTGTGGATTATCCACTCTCCTCCGTTCTGCTCTTACTGTGCCTTGTACAGGGACTGCCATTTTATACTTAAATCTCCTCCTATCTGTCCCCTCCAAAGCTGGAGTGCAAACACACTGCAGAGTCAGGACTGTGGCTAATCTATCTTCATAGCTCTGAGGACTAACAAATTGACCTACATACGTGGAAAGTCCTTAGTAAATGTCTGAATGAATGAATAAATGAGCTCATAATTGATGTCCCAATTCCATTCCCTGCTCGCCTGACTGATGAGCCTTTTAAAATGCATTTTACTTTGCCCTATTTGTGCAGGTTTTGTCTCTTCAACTAGTCTGTAACTTCCCTGAGGGACAAACCTTTCTGTGTGCACGGCAAGTATTCAATAACCATTTGTTGCCAAGGGGATTAAGGTGAGAAGATTAACAATTTGAACTGTACTGAGTAGGGAGAGAGAGAGAGAGAGGTAAGAGAGGTATGGTATGGCCCCACTTTTAACTATGAGCTATATCCAGATGTAAAATCATCTGGATAATATTCTGTACCACTAAAACACTCTATATTACACGTTGTGAAAAACTGGCTATAGTTTTCCTAAACCTAAATACTGTAGCATGATTTGTGACAGGTGCCATACATAAAATATAAATAAAATCTCCCAAAAGTATTAGATTAAAAGGAATAATCATGTAAGGATAAACAGGCTGGCTCATGAGAAACCAAAAATTTACTTTCATCAGCATAATTCTTTACATTAAGAAATGTTCGGGGGAAGGGTATAGCTCAAGTGGTAGAGCACATGCTTAGCACACACAAGGTCCTGGGTTCAATCCCCAGGGCCTCCTCTAAACATAAATAAGTAAACCTAACCACCCACCCCCTAAATAAATAAGTAAAACTTTTTTGTTTAAAGAAATGTTTGATGTTTAGTAGGGGACAATTATTTACAGGTCTGAGTATATCATCCTGTGATAAAGTAGTATCTTAAGGAAATTAAAGGTTCTTCTATGAAGACACAAACTTACTGAGCTTTGATTATAAAAAAATTTAAAGGCACAATCCATGAAGACTTTTGTTGTGGTGGATGTTTTATCCATTAAAAGCCAGTCTGGTTCCTTTCCTCCCCCACTTAAGAAATTCTGTTCCGCTATAAATCAGGCAAAGTTCCGGCTCCTCACCAGCTCACCTGACCTCCTCTCCTACTCCATACTGCCGGCCCCTACCGCTCCGCCACACCAGTGGAAGACTAAGGATGCAGGAGGTCCTGGGTTCGATCCCCAGTACCTCTTCTAAAAATAAATAAGTAAATACACCTATTTACCACTCCCCCCACCAAAATTTTTTTTTAATTAGAAAAAAATAGGTGTTTTTTCCTTGCCCCTAATTTTCCCCCTCAATCTCTGTTGACTTCTATGACCATTCTGGTCCCTCTGGAGCACACATCACTTGTGTGCCACCTTCCTTCTTAGGTTAGTATGACCAACACAAGACCCCTAGCAGTTTCCAGAACCTACAGAGAAATTAAGGAAAAATAATCTTACCAATAGTGTGATTCCCATAAAGAAGCTGCTCCAAAATTGCCGTTTTCCCCACAGAGAGCAAGCCACAAACCACAACCTTACAGCCTTTTCCCATTTTCTCTTAGGATATCACTGTAAAGAGAACAGAAGATCTTTAAAATTGTGTACTGTTAAAAATCAACCTTCTCTTTTTCTTTCTATGTTTAAATTTAATAAGTAACACGTACAAAGGGGGGAATTTCAAATATAAAAAAGATACACAAAATAAGGTATATCCTTCCAAACCCCATTCGTGGTCTCCCATTGGTTTCCTTAGAGCAATCAGTGTTACTGGTCTCCTATCTATCTCCGCAGAAGTAAGCTAGGAAAACAGAAGATGACGTTATAGATAAGAATATGTTTGTTTTCAAAAAGAATAAACACATTTTACACAAAGAATATTTCAATACTAATTAAGTCTACAGAAATCCAAACTGAATCCTAGTAGATGAAAACAATCCTTGAAAGACTGCCTGCTCATCTGTATTTACCTAGAAAAATAAGCAAGATGTAAAAATATAAGGAGGCATGAAGATAAAAATCTGGATAGAAAATGGACGTAATTTTTTAAAGAAGCATTAACACTATCAATGCTTCTGTCAGTCTTTTCTCAGGAGAGTGAGAAATTGAATTTTGGTCTCTTTTAGTCAGACTTCTTTTTGAGTCATAGTTCTTCAAGCCAGAAAAACTGATCAGGCACTTTAAACTAAAAGAAAAGGAAAACTCATTTCTCCCAGCTTCCTAACACATCCAAGGAAGAGCAAGATGGGGTAACATTTTCTTCAGTTTCCCTCAAAGCTTTTATTTTCTGGAAGGCAAGATACCAGAAGCCAAGACAGAAAGGAAAAAAGGCTCATTAAATGCAGCAGAATAATCTGGTAAGAGAATTTAAATTTCCACATTGCCTTCTGCCATCTCCCTTATTTCCAGTTCTCTTACCTAGCAGTGTGGAACTTGCAATAACTGACTGAAAGGGAGGCCATAGCTCCTTAAAGTCAGAAAACAAGAAAGTTCAAATAAGCAATCAAATAAAAGCAGTGGTGGGCATCTTTCTGTATGCGTGTATGTTGCACATTACTGTTTTTTTTTTAACCAAGAGCTAAAATATTAAGCAACAAATGAACTTCCTTTAAGTCTTCTCTACTTTGTTTTCTCAAAGTCTGTAACTTTTTTATTAAGGTAGAGTTGATTTACAATGAGTTTCAGGTGTACAACATAGTGATTCACAATTTTTAATTATACTCCATTTATAGTTATTATAAAATATTGGCTATATTCCCTGTGCTGTACAATATACCCTTGTAGCTTACTTATTTTATACATAGTAGTTTGCACATCTTAATCCCCTGCCCCTATCTTGTCCCTCCCCCTTTCTTCTCCCCCCTGGTAATTAGTTTGTTCTCTGTATCTGTGAGTCTGTCTCTTTTTTGTTATGTTCATTCATTTGGTTTTTTTTTAGATTCCATATATGAGTGATAACATATAGTATGTGTCTTTCTCTGACTTATTTCAGTAAGCCTATTACCCTCCAGGTCCATCCATGTTGTTGCATCTTTATGTCTGAGTAATATTCCACTGTGTGTATAAATATGTATACGTACATACATACATACATATACACACACACACACACACACACACCCCTTCTTTATCCATTCATTTGTTAATGGACACTTAGGTTGCTTCCAAAGCTCAGCTATTGTAAATAATACTGCTCTGAAGGCTGGGATGCATGTATCTTTTCCAATTAGTGTTTCTGTTTTCTTCAAATATACACCCAGGAGTGGAATTGCTGACTCATATGGAAGTTCTATTTTTAGTTTTTTGAGGAACCTCCACACTGTTTTCCACAGTGGCTGCAATTCCCCCCAACAGTGTACAAGTATTCCTTTCTCCGCATCATCACCAACATTTGTTATTTGTAGTCTCTGATGACAGCCATTCTGACAGGTGTGACGTGGTATCTCTTTGTGGCTTTCATTGGCATTTCTCTGATGATTAATGATGTTGAGCATCTTTTTCATGTGCCTGTTAGCCATCAGTATGGCTTCTTTGAAAATGTCTATTCAAGTCTTCTGCCCATTTTTTGATTTTTTTTTATATTGAGTTGTATGAGTTACATTTTGAACATTAACCCCTTATCAGTCATAGCATTTGCAAATACATTCTCTGATTCAGTAGGTTGTCTTTTCATTTCGTTGATGGTTTCCTCTGCTGTGCAAAAGCTTTTAATTAGCTTCCATTTGTTTACCTTTTGTTTCCTTTGCCTTAGGAGACAGATTTTTCTTAAATGCTGGTAAGATTTATGCCAGTGTTCTGCCTATGTTTTCTTCTAGGAGTTTTATGGCTTCTGGTCTTACATTTAGGTCTTTAATCCATTTTGAGTTTATTTTTGTATACAGTGTTAGAAAATGTTCCAATTTCATTCTTTTACATGTAGCTGTCCAGTTTTCCTAGCACCGCTTATTGAAGAGACTGTTTTTCCTCCATTGTATATTCTTGCCTCCTTTGTCATAGACTAATTGTCAAAGTCTGTAATTTTTTATGACCTAAATCAGACAAAGCACATTATCTCCTGACAGGAAAATTGTAATGATACCATTACTGTGGTGCCGTAATAACACAGCACTCACTTGCAGAGCAGTATACTACATTTAACCAGTAGATAAATAGTCTCTTACGTGATGTAACTATTATTTCCTGGGTGGCACGCTTGGGCTCCTTCTGATAAATCTTCCCAAGAATATTTATCACTTGCTTCCAGGAGAACCACTTCTCTTAGGGAATTTCCTTTTTATTTTTCAGTGTAAGTGCAATAGAAAAATTCTCAGTCTTTATAAGGGCAGAGTTTTGTGTAACGCTGATCATCTATGGTAGGGTATCACCTATGTCAGCAACTATGGCCTGTCCAACAAGGTTTTCCATGCATACTTCTGAATTTGATTTATGTTATCTCCTTTATCATAGGATTCCACTCTCTATAAATTGTGGTCTCCTGTAGGTTATACCATTGAATCTTTCTTTCAAAGAGTTTTTAATAACAGTTGCCACCTAACCACATGAGAAGAAGGTAAGAAAGAAATCTTCTGGAGTATAAGAAAAATGATGGCAGCAACAGAACTCTGCTGTCCGAAAAGGTTGCTGCTGGAATCTAAATTCTGGTTTTTCTATTGTTACTGCTCTTCCTCTGAAATTGTCTTAGCCCCAGTAGAATTTCTACATACCAATCCTTACCTCCTCGCCCCTTTCTATTAAATCAAGAAAAAAAAAAAAAAAGTCCCTTTACCACAAATTATATCAATCTTCAAAAAAAACTCCAGTGCTTTAAAAGGGCAGGTACATACTGTAGTTGAGTGAAGGAGCAGTTTTAAGGAAAGAACATCCCATGATTAACAGCAATAGACTCTCTGTGAAAGGGAAGCAAGTATGAATGCTGCGGCCTGAGGCGAACTGAAAAAATGCTGAAATCCACAGAATCCAGAGAAATCCAGAAATCAAAAATTCCTGAGGGTCTTGGGAAGTGGTCTCAATATACCTGCTTTAAAAGGGGTATACTACAATTGTACTTTCTTCACTCATGATACTAGGATTAGCAGATAGAGTTTGATTTAAAATATGCATTATTTTGTATTTGTGTGTGTGTAAAATAATTTGGGGGATTTATTTCAGGATTTCAGAGAAGACCTCATCAAGGGCAAACAGTAAAAGTAACTGAAAAGAGGTAACTCTAGGTAAAGATTTTAAGGTCTTTTTAGGAAGGAGAGAGAAGGAAAGAAATAAGACCGAGAAGAACATGTTAAATATTTTATAGCATCAAAAAGCAAACAAAGACGAAAGGGTAAGTGTGATTAATCAAAGCACACCTGAAGCATTCTAGGTTCCTAGGTGTCTTCAAATGGAAAACAATACTACTACATAAAACTGAAGATCAGTCACCTGCTTCACATCAATTTAAAAGTATGAATTTTTTTTTTTTTGGGTTCTTGGATTTTTATTGGATCAGGAGGGGTCTGAGGTAAAAGTAGGAATTCTTGAGGTACAAACTACTATGTACAAAATAAACAAGCTACAAGGATACACTGTACAGCACAGGGAATATAACCAATATTTTACAATAACTATAAATAGAATGTAACTAAAAATTGTGAATCACTGTCATACACCTGAAACTCATATAATATTGTAAATCAACCAATAAAAGCAATTTTAAAAACTACTAACTCCTTAAAGAGTTAATATCTAAAAGATTTTAAATGAATAACATTACATACAGATACAAAATACTTAACTCTCTATACATGATCATGATGGTAGGGGCTCACGTTACATATAAAGAAGTACACATATGCATCTCACCCTTATATATAATCAGATTTACAAATAAAAACCACCAAAAGCTTCGTTCTATAAGCATCATAACATTTCATAATTTCCAAACACAATAAATACACACTATTTCCTTCTAAATGCAGAAAGAGGTCATCTGCAGTACCCTGAAAGGGCAGGGGATCATGTGAATAGACCCTGTGGGTGGCCAAGCCTCTTAGGTAAATCGAGGTTCAAGAGTTTGAAAGGGTCCAGCACAGATGGATGACCTTTAAGCTTCCTTCTAACGCTGCCATGCTATGAGAGCAGAAATGGCTGATCCAGAAACTGAGTCAACACAAGGTTAACACAAAAAGCAGTAGTTACAGCTCCTTGTACAGCCCCTACCCTAAGAAACTGCTGGAAAATAAAATTCAGCTGTGACCTACTAATCGTTGGCTGATGTAAATGACTAAGAGAACATGCTTAACAGGCAAAATCCAATGCAGTCTTAAATACGTACTGCTTTGCTTTCCAGGCTAATCAATACTGTTGCTAGAGAATAAAAACATGGTCTGATCCACTCTGTAGAAAACACTGAGCTGGGTCAGTATTCTCTTGGAAGAGACATCAGAAACAGCTACCCTACATTGCCAGTACTTCTGTTCTTCCCTCACAGACATCATTCTAGTTTTAAAGTAGAACATAACTTTTTTATGCAAACAGGAAAATATTAACACTGAAACACTGTTAACTTCAAAAGGAGATATTATAGATCATATTATGTAAGCATCATGAGGAAAACTACACTGTGCATTGGTTTATGTAAACATCACGTACTGTGTGCAATGCTTTCACTTATCCATATATGAATACATTTTATATACATAAACATACATTAAAAGAGTTTTGCAAACAATACTGCACATAATAAAATACAATAAGCAGATTCCAGCCTACAGCACTTTTATTCATTCAGTAAATATTTACTACAGTCTTACCCTAATGCCAGGCATTATGGACAAAGTAGGAGGCAAAACCAAAACCTCAGGAATCTCAAAATCAATTAAAAATACCAATCCAAATCTTCCAAATTGCTAAATGAGAAACTGCAGGCTATGAATTAAGAAACAAAACAGCAAAACCTAATTAAGAAATTAGCAGTGATGAATCACATTGCCAGAATCTTCTTTCCAAATGATTATTCCCACTTTACAATCAATTGCTCTTGACTAATGTTTCTCACACCCCACATCTGGTCCAGCAATAAACCCTCTACCTTTGAAATGAAGCAGTCCAAGGCCCCGTCTTCTCTCACTGATCTCTCAAAGATGTCCATGACATAATCCCCCAAATCTATGAGTATTCTACTTTACATGGTGAAAAAAGGACTTTGCGATTGTGATTAAGAACCTTGAGATGGGGAGATTATCCTGGACTATCTGGACCCAATGTGATCACAAGTGTGTAAGAGGGAGACAAGAGTGTCAGAAAGTGAGAGATTTGATGATGCTATACTGCTGGCTTTCAAGATAAAGGGGTCAGCAGCCACGGAATGAAGCTGGAAGAGGGAGGAGGCAGAGTGGTAGAGTGTGTGCTTAGCATGCTCGAGGTCCTGGGTTCAATCCCTAGTACCTCCATTAAAGAAGTAATTAAGTAAATAAACCTAATTATCTCCTCCAACATCCCCCCAAAGATTAGAAGCTGGAAAAGGCAAGGAAATGGATTCTCTCCTAACGCCTCTAAAAGGAACATAGACCAACTAACTTGATTTTAGCCTAGTGAGATTTCTAACCTACAGAACTATAAGGCAACAAACGTGTGCAACGTGTGCTGTTTTAAGCCAGTAAATTTGCTGTAATTTGTTACAGTAGCTGTAGGAAAGGAATACCACCTTCTAACTAGTCTCTGCTTCCACATTTTCCTTTTCTCCTTTTAGCCTCAAAGCTGCAATTCAAATCATCCTTTTAAAATGCAGGCCACATAGAAGGAATTTCCTCAGGGGCAGGGTGCATGGTCCTTGGTTCAATCCCCAGTACCCCCATTTTAAAAAGTTAATAAAATAAAATGCAGGCCACATGACGTCACCCTCCTGCCCAAAATCTTCCAATGGTTTCCAATCTCAGAAAGTTTGAAAACCCAGAGTCCTCCTAAGAACCTTCACCTCTTTGAAGCCATCTGCTACTTTCCCTGTTCCTGTATTAACGTGGGCGTGCTCCAGCCTGGGCACTTCAAGGCTTTTCTCAAATGTTACTTCTCAAGAAGACTCATCTTGAACATTCCATGCAAAATCTCCACCCCAACCTCAACACTCTCTACCCCTCCCCCCCCTTATTTGTCCTTAGCATCTTATCACAGAACGTAATAATCTTACGTTTATTGCCTTTCCCCCAGAAGCTAGAATTTCTGCTACAACCACTGCTACATTCCTAGCTGGCACAAAGTAGGCATTTGTTGAATCATGTAAGGGCTTTTACAATGGTAAAGCTGCAATTTAAAAAAAAAAAAGGAAAATACGAAATGGGGGTAAAAAATAACCAAAGCCGCTGTTTTAGAAGACAAATGATTCTCTTAAACCTTCGCCACACTTACGCTTGGTATTTGTAAGAGAATTAAGCCATATGATTTACCAAAAATGAAAATATTCTGTAGACGCAAAAAAGCTAATCACTTGTTCGTCAATAAAGAACGCAACACAAAACGCCTGCATTTTCTCGGCATTTTTTCCCTTAACACTTGCACCTGCCAACCAGATCGCGGCACAAAAATATTTCGCTTTTCTAAAAAACCGTGGTCCTGACATAGCACATCGAGGACAAGATCTATATGCAGGAGAGGTAGGGACCGCAGGGACCCGCAAAAACGCAGAGCCGCCCGCATCACCCCCCCTACCCAACGCCAAACCCTTTTTGGGGCAAAATCCCTCGGAGCTGGGCCTGCGGGAGCTGAGGCCCGAATCGCCCCGGGAGGCGGGACGCGGCGCCCACAGCGAAGCCCCCGCGACACGAGCGCCCCGTTTGGGCCCCAGAGGTCCTCGTCCGTCGGGGTAAAGCAGGGGACCAGCCCGCAGCGCGTGAAGCGGCCCCGCACGACGCTTCCTGACAGTCCTGCACACCGCGCAGACCCCGAGGAGAGCGTCGCGCGGCCTGCGCGGCTCCACCGCGGGCTTCGGCCGCCGGAGCCCCGCCCCCAACTTGCCTCCTCTCGGCAGCGGGACCGCCCGGACGCGCACTAGCCGAGACCTCGCCGCTGACTGTCGCCTTTAGCCTGGCTCCTGCCGGTCCAGTGCGAACCCCGAGGAGCAGGGGGCGGGACCCTCCGCGAGGTTGCGCCCAATCCCGGCCGAACTCCGCCCACCAGGCTCTCGGCCGGAACTACATGTCCCATGAGGCTGTGCGCGGCCACCGCTCTCTACCGGAAAGAGGCTCGCTGAAGTGGGGGAGGAGCGCAAAAGGGATTGTGGGAGAAAGGCTCTTTCCTTTTCGTTTGGCGGCAGCCATCAGGTAGGCTGTGTTGGGATTTTCGCTAATCCATCCGTCGCGGATCTCTGTTCATGTGAGCCATCTAGGCTCGGGGACCCTGCGTCCTTGGGGCTCCTCCTGCCTCCTGTGCGGCGCGGGTTTGATTGGGATGCGGGGCAGCGCGGGTGTGGAAAGGCGGCCCCTGAAGCGGGCTGGGGGATGCTGTGATGGCGGCGCGAATTTGAGCTGGCTCAGAGCGTGAAGGAAAGGGAGGGAGGGGAGGCCGGACGGAGGGCGTCCTAGAGCGAGGCCGGCGGGCTGGGTGGAATATGCTTTTCTTCGAGAACAGTCCTTGGCGGCAGCAGCTAACCCGGAGGTCTTGGCAAGGCCTCTTTCAGGCCGGACCCTGGGACGCCGCCTGCCCCAGTCATCCGCCCCCTTGGTGCCCAAGGCTCGTTGCGCTCGTTCGTCCCGCAAAAACGTGTCGAGGGCCGCCCTGCGCTGCCTCCCGTGGACGCGGAGGTGCAGGTTGAGCCGGCCGTGCCTTGCTATTCGTGCAGAGCCATTTCATCGGCAGGGCTGTTCTCGTGGTCGGTGGGGAACTAAGATGGACGGACGGGGTCTTGTGCTTAAATGGATTATGTTTTTAACACCCGTTTATCTCCAAGGTGAGCCGAGATGGGCGCTTACAAGTACATCCAGGAGCTATGGAGGAAGAAGCAGTCCGATGTCATGCGCTTTCTTCTCAGGGTGCGCTGCTGGCAATACCGCCAGCTCTCGGCGCTGCACAGGGCCCCCCGCCCCACCCGGCCCGATAAGGCGCGCCGGCTGGGATACAAGGCCAAGCAAGGTGAGTGGTCTGCGGGGATGCTTGGGTCACAGTCAGCTCCCTGGGGGAGGCTGCAAACCCGCGATTAGGAAGAAGCATTTGATGCTGGAACATTAGCAGCAAGTTTGTTTTTTGTGTTTTTTTTTTTTTTTGGTCTAGGTTATGTCATATACCGCATTCGTGTGCGCCGTGGTGGCCGCAAACGCCCCGTTCCTAAGGGTGCTACCTACGGCAAGCCTGTTCACCATGGTGTTAACCAGCTAAAGTTTGCTCGGAGCCTTCAGTCTGTCGCCGAGGTGAGTGCTTTTTCAGTGGTACATGTATTGGTCACCAACTGGAGATAGTGGGGAAGGATTAGAACGGTTTTTCTGATGGTTAATTTGTACCTAGGTGAACCCTGTTGTGTTTAAAATGGGGCTGGTGATTTTTTTTCTTTTAACTTAGTGAAGAGTTGCTGTTGGAGACTCTTAGTCTTTGTTAGGAATCTCTTTGCTCATACGTTAAGAAAGTGTTTTATGATTAGTGTGAACCTGTGGAACGTACTTTTCTTAAGGGCGATAACTTTGTACTGAACTAGTAAAGTAACTATGCTTTGTTGTAGAGGTTGGCAAACAAGGACCTGTTATTCTCCATGAGCTAAAAATGTTTTTTAAGAGAAAACAAGGCTGTGCAGAAGAGACCATAGTGGGCTTCAAAGTTTTCAATAAAAGGTGGCTGACCTATTGTAGTAGAAAAATACGTTCCAGAATACTAAATTTGGTTAGCCAGATATTCCTAGCATTCATGCCTTAGGAGGTAGTCAGAATGGTTTCAAATCTAAGGACGTGTTATTTTGTAGACAGTATGCCTTGTCATACTCCCTCCAGGAAGCGAATCAACCTTACGATATTTATGTGTGTTACAGTCTACCTTATCACACTTGGTCCCAGCCTCTGGGAGATGCTTAGTAAATACTTGAGTTGTTTTAAGTGAGCAGCCTTAGTCTGATGTCTAAAGAGAATTGCTTCCTGATTGGATGCTAGGTTGTGTGGGAGGCTGACCTTGGGCCTTTTTTTCCTGTTCT